TCTCAGAACTCTGAAATTTGCATTTCTACAATGGGGGCTTTGAAAAAAGGACACAAATGCAAATGTTCCACAAAGTGTATAAGAATTTTCAGAGAATTGCCAAAACAAACCATCAATGCTGCATTGACAGTGACTATTCTAAGCCCTTCGTAACGACTGAGTACTCATGATTTTTAGAAGACAAAACACAATCTGAGGATTGAAAAAACAGAAGTAGGTTGAAAAATAAGTCCTTATGTCTACATGATTTCCAGAACAAATCTTGACTGATTAAGATCCCACATAATGATGGCATGGAGAAGCCGGGGCAGGGGCAACTTAAGAGCTGCACATGCTAAGTGTGCTGACGGCTGGGAAGAGGCCAGGAGGACACAGGCTGGCTACAAGCAACACGGGCGGCATCAGGAAATGTACAGAGCATTCTGGAAATCGCTCCTTTAGAAAGCAGACAGGAGGCTTTCCTGGGATCCTGTACTCCCATCCTTCAGCCTGCTGCCTGAAGTGTATCATGTTTTTCTCCAGAGCACTGGGAAACATGGGGGAAACAGTCTCCTGTCCATGTCCTTGTCAGCATCCCACCTCATAGCTGTGCCTACAACCTCTGGTCTCCTGGACCTTCCCAGGTGGCCATGAAGCATTTCCTCTCCAGCCCTGTCTTCTGAGCTAAGGTCCTGTCTCCTGGCCAAAGCTGCCAGCCCTCCTCATGACTGGCTAAGTCTGCTCTCTGCACAGTCTCCTGAGGGCCAGGCTTACAGCCCACATCTCACCCCCAGGCCTTTCCACAGCTATTCCCTGGTCTGGGGTCAACAGTCTCTTTCAGTCTAGAACCCTGCTGCCACCAGGAGCTCAGAATCCATGTCTGTGTTAATCAAAAGCCCACAAAGTGTATGTACGCATCCTGTTAAAAAAAATATGTAAGACCAGTTGGGTGGTGGTTCATGCCTATAATCCCAACTGCTCAGGAGACAGAGATCAGAAGATCTATGGGATAGAGGCTTGAGGCCAATCTGGGCAAGAAATAAGCTGTCTTGGCAAAAATGAGAGACCCAGTCCAAAAAATGACTAACACAAAAAAGAAGGGAGAATGGCGCAAATGTCGAAGTGATCGCCTGAATGTGAAACCCCAATAACACCCAACAAACAAAGATTGTGCATTATTCCTGAAAAACACGACTAATGCTGAGCATATTCTAAATGCCGTAACAATGTTCCCTATGAAGTGGGTTCTGGTGGCTCAAGCCTATAATCCTAGCTACTCAGGAGGCTGCGATATAAGGACAGAGGTTTGAAGCCAGCCCAAACAGACAAATCCAAGAACAGCAAAACAAGATACACAGCTCAAGCAGTAGAGCACCAACCTTGAGTTGAAAAGCCAAGCAAGACCAAAAGACCCTGAGTTCAAACCTTGGGACACACACACACACACACAAAAGTCCCTTAATGAGATACTTCTTTAGTAACAAATAACAACACTCAATAACTTTGGAAGCCATACTGGTTGGAATAAACAGATTCAAGACCTAAAACCTGGAGACTAACAGAAGACGACTGAAGGAAGTTCAGGATCCCAGTTTGGCTGAGTTTCTCCTAGAGACTCAGGATAAACTGTAACTACAGTTGGCAGGAATCAGACAACCTTGGATCACCAATCACCAAGTTATTGTTGACAGAGACTCTAGCTACAAGGTTTAACAGAGTATTAAAAAAAAAAAAAAAAAACCATAGAATGGTCCAAATGAAAGTCCTGATTTTGAATTATACAAACTTCCCTCAAAATGGTTACTTTGTTTCCAACTCAGCATCCAGGCTAGTTTGACCATCCAAGCTTCTCATGGAGACTGGGTAGAGCTAAGAAGCCCTAGTAACTCCATGTTGTCCCTGCACAACCAGCTTCCTGTCAAGGGCAGCACTTCAGGGACCACAGACACATCTGACAACCCGCTGTGGTCTCCTTGAACTTCAGAATGCTTCTCAACAGGCTTCCTCTAACTCTAGGCAGGGATCTGAGCAGGAAAGGCAAGCTACCCCCGAAGGCCAGGGCATGTAAATGGATGACTGAGGAACACCACCAGTTTTCTGGTAGCCAACCAGGTTACCAATATCCTAGGGTACATGCTGACCCCATGGAAAGCCAGGAGAGCCACTTAAGGGAAAAACAGAAAGGCAGGGGAATGGTAGCTAGTCCAGCTAGCAGGGCACAGGAGCACCCAGCCACCCCGCACCTCCCCCATCAGCTTGTATCGGGGACCTGCCTACCAGGCAGAGGCTCTGCCCTGTGAGTCCGTCCTGGCCTGTCTTGGCACACCCCAGCAGTGAGGGCTGCAGCCCAGTCAGGCCAGAAGCACACTTCAGAGCCTCCTTCCCAGAAGAGTTCTCACAAACTAAACCGACCCCAGCCCTTTCCTCAGGCTGATCACAGCATTAGAAACAGTTATTTAGAGCAATAAATCCCAACAGCTAAGCGGCTTTTACGTCAGAGAGCCAGGGCCTGGCTTTGGCAAAGTCCAGAAAGAACAGTAATAAAAGCATAATGCGCACCTCACCCAACACCGAGGGAGTCTAAAGAAAAATGGGAGAGAAGAGTTACACACATGAAATAAAGAGGCCACTTGATCACCAAGCAAAGCCTAACTGCCCTGCCAGCATGAAAGAGGAGACCTAATGGCAGCTGGCTGACTTCCACTGGAGCCTAGCACACCACCAGAGCTGTACCAGACCACACAGGAGCAAGCAGGACCCTTGCCAGAAAAGCCGTGGGCAAGGGGGGGAGCCAGGCAGGCCAGAGGAGGGGCCAGAGCCAACCTGAGCGAAGACACCAGGAACCCAGACAAGCAGTCAACGAGCATGGCCGCCGACAGTCGGGGTGATGCCAGAGGGCACGAGTGCTCTCCACCCCAGCCTGAGGAAGAGGAAAGAGGGGTCCCCAGCTCTGCCCCCTTACATTCCGAGAAACTTGCTGTTCAAGAGTGAGCTGAGGGTGGGGGCGTGGCTACCGCACTGGGTTAGCATCCAGGAGGCCTTCAGTCCCACCCCAGGGCTGTAAAACAATACAAAACAAAAAACAGCAAACTGAATAACTGGCCATTAATTCTCTTTCTCCCTAAAAGTCTATTAAAATGCTACTATGAAAAAATATTAATAAATTGTGAAAGGGTTTACAGCGAGGCTTGACAATTAGAGAAAAGATGCATCAACTGACAACAAGGAGCTGGAAGAACTCCTCTGGAAACCCCAAATCCAACCAGGCCACCCTGATGGGCAATGTCACTCAGCAAGGACTACAGCAGTCACAAAGCCAGCCCTGACCCAACCACGCCAGGAAGGACACAGCAGGGCACTGTAGTTCCAGAATATGCAAAATGAGCAAGCCCCACTTAACAGAAAGGTGAGGGCAGGGACTTCTCCAGTTTGCTAAAAAAAATTTTTTTTTTTAATGAGATGGCTTGAACTGCCCGGTGCTGGTGAGGTGCGAGAAAAGGAATATAGGCCTCTTTCTCAAAGATGACCAAGACAGGTCAGCTGAGAGAACACTTTGGAGCAAATCGGTGAACTCCAGGATATTCTGAAGATGCCTGGTGACGACTCTGCTTCCACTTTTACAATCTCCAGTGCAGATTCTTACACAAGTGTGCAAAATAAACACATAGGCACTATAAACAGTGCTATAGCCATTTACAAGTTATCAAAAACAATATTAGATTTACATACATGCTGACATAAAGATGCATTGAAGAAACATAAAACACCTACCCCACATAAAAACCTCCAGGCTACGAAGATATGTACAAATGCAACACTACATGTTTACACACAACAATGAAGCAACCTATCCCAAGAGCTGGAGGCAGATCTGTCTACTACATATACTTCAGTCCACAGAGCTCAACATTCCCCCCACCCTGCCCAGCAATGGTCATTAACCATCTCTTTACAACAATCAATACGTGAACAATCTGAATCAATAAAACTTCATATCTAAATAAAGTCTGGAACCCTGCCCTTTGCAGCTCTCAGACAAAGACAATCACACCCAAGGGGATTGTATGTGGACATTCTGGGCAACCTTGGAGAAAGAAGTCCAGACCCTAAGCCTCTGCCTTTACCCCACAGAGCAGAGCCTGAGCCAAGGCTGACAGAACCTCAGTGTCTCAGGATTCCATCCAGACATCTGTCCAGCTTCTTGTGTCTGTCCTTGTCAGCTGAGGACAGACACTGACACCTAAGAGCCCTAAAGTCTAGGGTGTCACCATGGGCTGGAAAAGGCTGGAAACAAGTGGCCTATGGACCACTTAAAGAGGGACAGGCTGAGCTCTTTAAGTTTGAGTGTTCAAGATACATGCTGCAACTTTATGGGGTCCTAAGGCAGGAAGTTCCCACATGTACATGCCTACATGCTCCTGAAGCTGAGTGACAGTCACATGGATTCCAATCCTATTCTCCCCACTCTTTATGACATTAAACAATCCCTCCTTCCCTGCAGTTCCAACACTATTTAGGGCTGTTGGAAAGCATAAATACTTGTAAAGTGTTTCGATAGCACCCAATAAAACACTCAAACACTAGGCTCAAGTCTACGGTCACTTCCTGTGGGTGCAAATCACAGCTTGTTCCACACTTGGCTCAGGGTATCTTAACAGAGGAACTCCTTCAACCCATCCTAACAAAAAAAAAAAAGCCTGGACACAAAACTAACTCATCACAGCCATCACCCTGTTCAGAACCAATTCTTTTCCTCCTGCCATCAAGAAAACTGGCTGCTGCTTGCATCAGCATGCAAAGCCATGGCTTCACGCCAAACTCCCCTGGTTCTTTATCAGCCCCCTTTTCACCAAGATGAAGAGCCAATAGTCTACTCTGCACTTGCTGGTGTCATGAAAGCAGTGGCCATTATCAAGAAAAACAGAGACTACCATCCAGCCAGCAGGCTATACTGACAGCAGTAGACGTCTGTAAAGAACAGCAACAATCTCTGTGCAGAGAAGGAAGGAGGCAGGCCTTACCTGGATGGCTTTGGGAGCTCATTGCTAGTAGCGTCTATGCCCTTAAAAATGGCTCAGAATGTCCACGTAAACAATAGTCCCAAAGAGCTTCAAACTTCCACCAACACATACAGAGGATCTGGTCCCAGCCACGCAAACTTGGAGTCTCCTGACAGTCTTGTAACCCAAGTAATCCACAGGAGAGAGAGCAAGGTCTTCACCTGGCTTTCTGAAGACAAACCTGCGTGGTTAGAAGAGAGATGCCAGTTAGGATGGGACAGCTGAGGAAGAAGACTTTCTCACCGGTTTCTACCAGTGACTGATAAAGCAATCAACATGGAACCATTCCTACATATACACACCAGCTGGGATGATGAGCAAATCCTAATATGTGCAGAAACGTCTGGAGAGCAGAGTTCCCCAACCCCAGCACTACTGACATGGGGTGAACACCTGGCTGCTGGGGACTGGGAGGCTGTTCTAGGCCTTGTAATATAGTTAGCAGGATCTTTGCCCTCCATCCCAGGTGCCAGTACCCCTCAAAACTTGACCTCTCCACAAACCAGTCACCATAAAAACACATTCAGGAACACCAACCCACAATCCCTGACCCAGCCTGCTCCGGTGCTCACTGAGGCTTCTGTGCATCACCTCCAAGAGGACAACAATGCCCTTTCCCCAACTACTTATGATCAAAGACCCTGACAAACTCACCCAGTCGAGGATTACCCTCAGAGGTTAGCTGTTTAGATGGTTTCCAATCTTACATTATTACCTACAACTCTGATTCATATCTTTATGAGTATTGTCTTATATCCGGTTATTTCCTTAGGAAACACAGTGACGTTTTATCTTCAGGTTCAACATTTTTTCATTCATCCCAGTCACGAACACACATTGAAAAGCCAACTTTTTCATAAAATTAAACGCTTAGTAGCCTTGGGGTAGGGGGAACACTGTATCTTAGCTGGGTATATTGTCTCAGCTTACAGACATGCCCTGTGTATCTCTAGCCCTGTAAACTTGCTCTGCCCTGATACTGTGAAGAACCCTAAAACCAGCTTATCCCCATTTCCCGTGTAGGTAACTTGAGGGAACTGGATATTGGTGGCAGTGATATTATTTTCCTCTACCTGGATTCAGCTAGCATGTCTTTCCTGTTAATTGTGAAATTGAAAGCTGCTGTCAGAAGATGTATGGGGGGAAGGGGGGAGGGAATCTCTTCACTTACTTTGCTTAAAGCATGACCCCTTAAACACATGCTGATTCTCTTCCTGTTCAGGAAAAATACTCTGCAATGACATCTTTTGGTTATTATTTTTATAATTTGCTCTGGCCTCCCAAGCAATGCCCCGCCGTGGGCTGGAATGCTGGGATCTGGCCTCCCTCACCACTGACACATCTGCTGTTTGCTCTGCAGCCCCAGGAGGCCTCTCCAGCACATTCTACACAGGACTGCTTTCCACAGGGCCAGCTTCATTCTTTATGACTTCTGATGTGGTTTAATGAAGCCTGAAACTTTGTTTCCAACTAAGATGAAAACAATACAATGCTTCACTACCCACTCCACCACCTTCTCTCCTCAGCTGCACCTCTGCACAGCAACCTCTTCTTGTTCTACTTGTGTCTTGCCCTAGCCAGATTGAGACTTGAAGCCCTCTTCAGAGGTACATTCTTGGGCATTTCCCTGTCCACCCCCTCTGAGGCAACTTGCTAGGGACTCTTCAAGTCCAGCTCTCCCAGACCCGAGGGCAGCCTGGGGGCAGTGTGTTCACCCAAACCTTGTTCACTCTGCTTGGCAGGGCACCAGCCCCGAGCCAAGTGCCCAGTGGACTCTGCAGCGCTGCCAGGCACAGATGGATCTTCTCTTCTCCCATCTGCAGAGTGAACAGCCGTTTCTCTGTGGTACAATACATACGTTCTAGAACCTCACTCTGGGCAAAACTTACAAGAAGAAACTATTCAAATCTTTATGACCTGCACTCTATAAAAATCAGTAATAACTAATAAGAAAACTACCACAGTTTTTAAAAAAAAAGATGATATACATTCCTAATAGAGTCTAAGAAACATAGAACTGACATTTGGTAGTAGAGATTTGTAAAAGAAAAAACAAGTTTCTGAGTTACTAAATGAGGGACAACTGAGCTCAACCACACCATGACACTGCCAACTATCAGGATTAAAGAGCAAGACCCAGTGGAGAGAGGAGTCAGGATCATATGAGGTGGCAACAAAATCGTCTGCAGGGAGTCAGACATTTTGTGACGTAACTCACTGACTCCAAGCACTGCAGTCCCAGCAATGTGATACTTACAAGGAACCCTGAAAATGTATGGGCTTGTGCCAGATGTTTAGGTCAGGAAAGAACTACATGTATGACCACGGTCCATCCCATAGATTTATCACCTAGTAACACAGCAGCCATCTTAGATTGTGTAAGTGTATGCTATGCTGGTGGCAAAATGACAAAACCATTGAGCAACATTGTTTAATGTGTGTCCATCCCACCACTAAGCAACACAGGATAAATCACAAATAAATTAAAAGATGGAAAGATATATCATGCAAACACTAATCAAAAAAGAAAGTTGTAAAGACTGTTAGGTTGTTTAAAGTCAATGTTAGAGGAAGGATAACACATTGGATTTTTCTAACAATGGAGGGGTCAGTTTAGGTATAAACACTCTGTGTCTGGAAACAGAGGACATTGAAAGCAAGACTGTCAATAGCACAAGGAAAAAATTATACATATAAAATCAGAGCTGGTTACAGCTGGAAAATTCTGCCCCCTGCTCTCAGGAACTGTGAGAACAAATAGAAAATTAGTTTAGAAGAGAGACCTGAGAACACTACCAACGTGACTGAGATGTCTCTAACCCTGTACAAATGGGAGTGGGAGAGACACAGCCCTTCACTTTTTTTTGAAGGCAGAGAGCAGGCAGAGAAAGAACACCTTCTGAATCATAAAGACCACATACAAGTCTCAGTAAATATAAAAGGGCTCAAATCACTTAAGGCACCTTCTCTGACTAAGCTGAAATTAGTCAGCAATAAATATAAAGATCACTGGTAATCCTGCTTTTCTTTTTTGGCAGCAGTGAGTCTCAGCACAGGGCCATGTGCTTGCTCGGCGGTGCTCAACCACTTGAGCCTCTCCTCCAGCCCTCAAATCCCAAATGTTTGCCAAGTAATTAAGATACTTCATGAGTGAGGAAGAATTCAAAACAGAAACTGGAAAGCACGTAAATGTGCACTGCCTAGAAGAAAGTTTACAAGAAAAGAAGGCTTCGACTCAATGATCACAGGTTTTACTTTAAGAAATTAGAAGCAGGCCAGGAACAGTCTCTCATGCCTATAATCTCAGCTAAAAAGGGAGGCTGCGATCTGGAAGATCAGTTTAAAGCCAGCCTGGGCAAACTGTTGGTAAGACCCCACCCATCTCCACAAACAATCTGGGCGCAATGGCACCCACCCCCACTATGCCACAGACTGCAGGTAGAATGACCATGGTCCAGGCTGGCCTCAGGCAGCTGGGGATGGCTGAAGGGGCACAGTACTTGCCTAGCTAGCTCAAACCCCATTATTGCAACAAAAAAGAAAGAGGGGAGGAGAGGGGAAATTAGGGGGAAATACCAGGAAGAAAAAAGAAAAAGGAGCGGGGAATAGGAAATGTGGAAGGCAGAAGGAGAAAAAAAGAAAGTAGAAATCAATAAAATGAAAAAAAAGAAAACATAAAGCCAGGGATGGTGGCACATGCCTGCAATCCAGGCGGTGCTTAGACAGAAGGATCACGAGTTCTATACAGCCAGGACCTTGTCCTTTCAAAAAAGAAAAGGAAAACATGAATGGAACTCTCTGTTGCAAGGCAGTGTGTCTACAGAAGTTGGTGGTCTTGCAGGTGTCCGAATTACAGAGGTGAACCCACCGCATCCCAGGCACCCTCAGGGGTGACTTCTTGGTACCGCATGTCCAGGGGTATTAAGGGTCTACTGAAGTTTAAAGTTACAAAGAAACACCAAGAGGACCTGTACTACTAAGTATAATGAATTATAAACCTCTACAGTTAAGATGTAAGAGCAAACCAAGGGACAGAGTGTTCTCAGACCAACACAAATGTAACTACCACTCTGCAACCAAGCTCTCCACCCCCCACCCCGCATCCCAAGTCCCAAGGGACTGGTTCCTTTCAATGCACAGTGTTTAGGTCATGACCCAGCAGCATTCAACTTAGAAATCAGCAGGGACCAGTTACAGACCTAAGGTGAAAGTACAGCAACAAAGCCCAGTGCAAAGAACAACCAAGAATAGTCTTTCTGATAGGTAAAAGAATGTGAGCAGATAAAAGAAGGAACCATAAAGGAAAAGGAATACTTATATTGAATTTAAAATGATGGTTTATTAAAAGATTCAGTTGGGGGTGGGGAGGAAGTAGTCTACAGTGTAGAAGCAATTCTGGCATAAGTATACTCAACAAAGGGCCAATACTCAAAACACACAACTAAGTCTCACAAATCCTTAAAGAAAAGGCAGACAACCCCAGTTCAAATATATGTGTGTATATATATATATATATATATATATGTACATATATGTATGTGTGTATATACATATATATTTGCATTGGTGAGAACCTTTCCAAAAGAGGATGCAAGTGGTCAGTCAACATGTAAGTAGGTACTGTGCATCTGAGATCATAGGGAAATCTAAATTAAAATCACAAGGGGAGGCCTTGTGTGGCAGCACACACCTGTAATCTTGAGGCAAGATTGTCAGTGTGAGGCCAGCCTAGTCTACATAGAAAGCTTGTCTTAAAACACCCAAAACAGGAGAAAAAGAAAAACCACAATGGGGTAGGATCAAAATGGCCAAAACTGCAAAGCCCTCCCTGGAGTCACTAAGAACATGGCAGCCAGAGCTTCCACACTTAGCCAAGCACTGGATTCTATGAACTAAGCCATACACAGATTCTGTATCTGCAATGCCACCCCAAGACAGACCAACAGAAGGCACACATGAGCTCACCAAAGCCATGCCCAAGAAAACCCCAGCAGCCTGTCTATGAGAGCCCTAGACTAGAATGTCTATCAATAGTCATATCATAGAATATTATACAGCAAGAACAAAGTGCACCTCCATGCTGCCACACAGAAGCAGGCAGACACCCAGCGAGGGCTAGATTCGCTGCACATACACATGAACTATGAAAGCAAGTAACATCAGTTGGAGACAAA